GGTACCTTCGATTATTTATTTCGGCCCTTTGTGACAGGCGAAAACGTCCGCGGAGAGTTCTTGGACCATTTCATGCCCTGGTATGAGCACAAGGGCGACGTGAACGTCCTCTTAGCAACTTACGAGGAACTAAAGAGGGCGGAAGCTTATTGTAAAACACGCACAAAACCTAGAAACCGAAAACCGGCATCTGTTTGTTGTAGTTAACCGTAACAATGCTTATATAAGAATGCCAAAGATCGAATCGCGAAGCAAGAAGTGTTTCATGGGGTAGCTCACAGCACTAAAGAAGAGCGAGGTATGCAGCAAAGCGCACTGTGCTGTTTCGATAGCACAGTGTTGGCGATGCTTTGTACGTGTGAACAGCCCTTTAATTTTTCAGTCCATGACTATGGCGTACCAAAGCTGAGTAAGTGTACAAGGTGTTTTATCTTCCACAAAGCGCAACCTGCCAGCAACCTTACCGAGTTAAGCCGGAGAACCTCGTATGCCAGGCGCATCACCAGTGAAGCGCATTGCGCCACCTTCCTTTCTGAACACGCACTTTTTTTTACGGGTAGCGACTCATGAACACAAGTGCCAGATACCTCGCCCTTACCAAAAACCCTCTGAACGTATGCACTCTCTTCCATCATTACCCTAGTTCTATGCCCGTGTACAAGTTCGAAATCGGTACCTTCGATGATTTCTTCGAGCTCTTTGTGACCAGCGGGAACATCCGCGGCGACTTCGGCCATCTTGTGTCCTAGTGTGAAAACAATTTCGAAGGCAGCGTCTTCTTAGGAACTTACGAGGAGCTCAAGAGGGACTTCCAAAACACTGACGTGAAACTGGCTTACTTTCTTGGGGAAGAGTATGCACAACAATTGGAAACCGATAAAAAAAAGCGCATCAAATGGTCGTGGAGAAAAGCAGCATCCCGTTTATGGCCAAGCGCATCGCCCTAAGGGATGACATGGCGAGCTCTTCAGAAGAACATGTGAATGATGGCTATTTAAAGGCTATACAAAGATGTTTGTGCGATAATTCTGGTGGATTGCGCTATACTAATACTGTCATGAAAGTCACCGTGGGCGATTGGAAGACGCATTTCAAGCGGCTTTCAAGTGGCCTGGAACGTCTTCGGCGTGGGGTCCACGAAGAGGTAACCCTCTTTCTTAAACGGTTTGGGCGTCCCAAGGTTCGGGAGGCATTGTGTAGAACAAATTCTACCTGAATTTGTACAGCAATGTAAACTGTGAATACTAAAGTAATGTAAGGTTACAATGATAATAAACAACTTTTCCTGTGTCTAATGTCTGCAAGCGCCCTTTGCTACAACTACGTCAAAATTTACCTTGAGTTGTGTATAATGGAATAAAAAAACAGTTTGAGTCTTAAATTCAGGTCCGAAGGTTTTCCCAACAGAAAAGACACCTTTCAGTAAAGCCGGCTTGCGCATTTGCACAATCTACTGTAGCGCCAAATTTAATTTCCCCTGACCGATACTACAGCGATAGGGGTTTAACAGACTTGGAGTTCGAACGAACCGGATGCGCCGAAAAGCAGAATATCGCGAAGCTTCCAGCTGACTACGCGATGGCTTCATGCGCAGAACGGCTGCGAGACAACATTTAGAACATTTAGTATATGGCTAGTTAAGAACTGCAGGACGTCTCTTTCGAACTCAACACCAGCACCCGGCCATCAGCTTCCGCCCCGCTCTGACAGCGTGTGTACGCTCCAGCTTCACGGGGCGCTGATGGGTTATTGAACTTAGCTAGTGCGCGCATATATTTCTCTGTGGTACTCCCTGGAATCAGGGCCGGCTTGAGCGTCTCGGCTGAGACCGGGCGAAAGAAGGCACCCCAACGTCTGGGGCAAGCAAGTGTCTCGAGACGCGGTTGGAGTCCTGCTCAGCTCGTGCGCTGGCTCTGGAAGTGCTTTCTTTCCCCTCACCAGGGACGCTGCTTCTAGCAAGCTGGCCCAGGATAACCGTAGCCTTAGCCTGCTCTATACTGAAAAAGCCTGGCAGATCGCCACGAGACGCGGCCGCCGAAATTAAAAAAGGTACAGTTGCAGACTATGGATGAGAGGAGAGTCGGATGACGGGCTCCCCACTGCAGTGAGACGCCGAAACGTGTACTTCTCCCGAGCGATGGAACGTCCGCTCGTGCTCCTCGCGTTCCTCGTGCTACCGCTTCCTTTTTCGTCGGGTTTGAAAACCATGTTTTGGGCGCTCGCCACTGCAAAAGGTGCGCACTGACGACCAGGTTCCCCGAGAATTGCTCTGTACTTACCGGATCCTCGCGCTCCAAATGTGCGACCGAGCACTCTACGGCTCCGTCGTCAAACCGCTAGGCATTGTGTGTATAGAGGAGGCTGTGCCATAGCGGAAAACGGAAACTCGACCGTGTAGATTTTATTTAGTCAGTCACTTTTGGAGTGACACCTAATTAAAAATTGTTCTGCGCTTTTCAACCTTTACTAAGCGGAAGCGCGAATTCTCTCCGTTGTCACCGAAAATTACGATGGTGCAAGAGAAAACGTGTGCCATAGCCAATTGGTGTGTCGTGACGTCAAAGGAATAACATGTTTACAACTTGAAGCAGATGCACAAGACTTTTTGCTTCTCTTTATTCAAGCCCAGTTCAAGTGCGATTCACGCTGCTCCGGGAAGGCGCAAGGAAATGTGTGGGTTTATAAGCTGGGGTAAACATTAAAAGGCCACATTTTGAAAGAAGCGCCTGAAAGTAGATCAACAAAGCACAGCTAGAAATTATTATAACATCGGCTTAAAATACACCAGGCAGCAGAAATATGTTTTATTCGTTAGCTTCAACGACACGTAACAAAAACAGATTAAATATTTCAGTTGTAAGGATCGTTACTCTAAACTGAACATTCGAAATGGGCAAAAGGGCCACTGCAAGGCTGTGAATAATTGCATGAATGAACGAACATCAAGATCTTCCGCACGGCACACCAAGTGCAACAACCATTCCAAATCACCTCCCACAAAACCCGAGTGCATTGAGCTCTTGCGCGAGTGTCATAGCAACAGCGGTCTCAGAGTTTCGCGTAATTCACTATCCTTCTGACGCCGTTGGACTTTCTGCGTCACCTCCTGACCTTGAGCACGACCACGGACTTACCCTCTCGGTTCCTCAACCGTACCTCATCGCTACTTTCTCTACAACCAGCCTCACTCAGCGCACACCATCCCAAGTTCTCCCGGACCCGCTACGAACTTTGCAAGGTCTAAAAATACGTTTTGCAAGTTTATCTGATTTGTTGATCAGATAAACATGCACAGGAGTGACGGAATGTCGATCACAGCCCAACATATAAAAGAGTCAATCACGGGGTCATAATCAAGGTTCGTGAGAACTGAAGCCCCTTCATAAAGCCTTGCGTTCATAGAAATTATTCTCGTCAATGGATCAGTTGGTAGAGTGGTTTATATCGGGGAAAATGACTGCTATCATTCATAGGTCGCTGGTTTGTATCCGAATTGTCGGGTGTAGGTCTTGTTTTCTTGTAAACACAGCTGTGGCCGCAAGGGTTGGAGTGCTCATGTGATTGGTGACGTCACCAGGAGCTGTCGCGAAGTACGATCCCAGAATTTCTTCGGGGGGTCCCGACTAACAGCCGTAACACGTCACATCGAAATAACTCTGACTGTCCTGGACAGAGCGTTGACACACGTATGAAGTTTGCTTCCGGAGTGCCATGTCCACACGATGGAGTAACCGCCGGACAAAGCTGCGTGACGACAATCGGCGGGGCGTCTCTCACCGCAACTCCGCGAGAAACGTTTGTACCATCTGGGCATTTCCTCCGCGCCTCCGACCAGGAGCAAGTGGAGTTCGACGTCACCGCGCCGCCTCAGAAAGCCGTGATGTCAGCATCACTCAATGCGCGCTCGTGGGGGGAAAGTCGAATTTCCTTCTCGTGTAAATAGCGGATAAGCAAGAATGCCAGCAAAAAGTGTCAACACGCCTAACTCGGAACTGTGGCACCAGACAGGTAACAAACGTTCAGATCAAATAGTATCATTACACATAACAAATCACAACTTGGGCAAAGACAAGACAAAAAGGTGAACACACACTACGAAAGGCTATTGCTTCGCACAAGCACAGCCGCATTGAAATTACATTTAACGCGAATTTCATAAATCTTTTAATGATAGAAATAGTCTGAAATAATGTAAATAATAATGAGTGAAACAATTTGAACTGAAAGTCTCCATGTGAAACTTTCCACCAAGTCACATTTCTTTGAGCATTTAAATCGTGCTCAAGACGTATTCAAGAAAGCAAAATTCTCCACAAGCATGCATAGAAGGGCCAGGTAATATTTTTCAAAGCTGTCCTACCAGTTCGCACCTACAGCTCTTTCTCTTTTGGAGATAAAGGTATCGTAGACCTTGATCAGCTTTGTGCCCCGAATATCCAACGTAATCCAAGTAGATGCGTATGTCATCCTGTATTCTACTCAGTCGAAAAGCTAAAAACTTCGGGGCACCGGTCAGGTACCTAGACATTGTGCTACGACGATTGACCTTCGATATTGGCGGAAAGTTCGATATACAGGCAAAACTTTAAAAACGTGGCAGTTTTATACTGAATCACTCCAATTTCAAAGTTCACGAAGTTACAAACTTTGGCCTATGAATCCACGGACGATACCATCGAATTTCCCTGAAGCTGGATCGAAAAGACTTAAAATGTTCTAATTGCGATTTGTCTGGCATAAACAGCAGCTGGTTTGTTGACTCCATTGAATAAAGAATTTTAAAAGCGTAGATAAAGAGAGTCCACTTTCTCCAAACGTAAACTGCAGGATGTCTAGTCGGTGTTCCCTTGGCACACTGAAACCTACCGCCAAACCTCATATCATCTCTCCGACAAGATATGCAAGTATTATTGCATCACAGCATTAAATTTTTACGTGAGAGCTCGTGATCTCTTTACGCCTGGTGTACAGGATGAACACTACAAGGATTACTTGAGGGTTCATTGATGCACAACAATTTGTCTGGATCTCAAAGTTTGTGAACCAACCCTACACCGATTCCAAGGTAAGGTGAGGCCTTGCGTTATCTGTACTATGCTCTGAATAATAAAAACTACGACAGAAAGAATTATTCCAACACACCATAGAACGAAACATGGTCGAAGGTCGCTCAATGTGACGGGTTTTTCGTTAGTCATACCTTTATGTGTCTTGAATTTACGTGTGCGAAACCGTTTATGATTAGAGAGAGACACAAAACGTTTAAAAATGCCAGCTTCAAAGGCTCGCGAGAAAAGATTACTCATGGCATTTCGGTAAGGAGAGATGGTCCTTATTTCAGGTCCAGTAAGTACCTGAAACGCAACAGACTCTATATAGTTCCTGTCGATTAGTTGGTCCTTGAATTCGTCGTATCCAGAGCCAACGATCATAAACTGATCCTTTCCGTCATTTCCTATTTTAATTTCGCCAGATGACTTGATACACTTTTTGAGCTCATGGCTTTTAATACCTTCAACCTCTTGGGTGAAAACATTACTGAGAACACACAACCTAAAATCTCTCACTGGTGTTGTTACTGTGATTGACTCACCCGCAAGAGGGACGTTTGAAAAAAGTGAAACAATAACGCCTTTGTACCCGGTGGCAAGTACAGTCGCGCATAGAGCGCATGTCCCAAGAATGAATCGCAGCGAAAGGTACCTTTCACTACCTCGAGTCGCGGGACAGCCCTGTTGCAAGAAGAAAGCTGCAAAGGGTAAAGCCAGAATATGAACATTTGCTTGTTTTTTGTTGAGAATCTTGGTGATTATGAAGCAAGTAATAAATAAAAAGAAAAAAGTTGCCAAAATGGCCAGCCAAACGAATGAATCGAGCGGCAAAAATAGAAGAGTTTCTTTCAACACTGGCTCCCTGTCTCTTGCGTAAAATAACACATCGAGGCTGTCATAAGGGTAAGTAGTGGAGAATGACGGAAACAAGCGACCTGTAAACTCTAAAAAAGAAAAGTAAAGAAGAGAAGATTGGTTCACATAACTTTCCAGAGCACGCTGATAATAATCACCTAAAGTAGTGATGTGTGTGGCATGAAACGAAACGTTCTTTTGTTTGAATATACTGCCCAACGCTTCCAATTTCGCTTTATCGCAAAAGTAATGGTGCTGACAATACATTTTTATCGCGATTCCATGGATAGAACGATTTTTAAGAAAGTTGACAAAACTAACATTATGGGCGGTTTTTAAACAGTTTAGACACCGAAGTTTAGAATTTTCAAAAGCATAGACAAACCTTTTGTGCACCATAAAAGCCAAAGAAACTCCAGCACTAATTAATGATGCGTCCCTTCGCCTTGCTTCATTTAAATTACTGTAAGCATTACTGTACCCCCAGGGGTCATCAGAAATCACGTACAAATGCATTACGTACGGATTTAATAAAATGATTGAAAGAATGTCCCACGCTGTTGATTTGCAAAACACGAGCACAAGAGCGTGGCGGTCCTGATCCACGGTGCCACGCTGTTGCAGGTAAAAAAGCGCTGATGTTCCTCTTAGAACTCGAACACTTATCGGCGCCTTCCTCAGCAATTGGGCCAATGCAGAACTTTCGTCCACGCCGAACTCCGGTGGCACAGCAATGTCTAGATGGGCCAGTTCACTTGCTGCGACGATGTACTGATGGAAACCTTCAGAAGACGCAATGTCTTTCCAGAAGGGACAGTCTTCGGGATTCACCTGATGCACGCCGAAGGACAGCACCGTCAGGCTTAATAGCGCCACAAAACTTACGAATGACTGCTTCCTAATCGCCATGTGAAGAATCAAATATTGGCAAGCACTTTGACTTTTATCAAAGAGGTATTGCATTCGACTCTGGCATCCGAGGAAGCGTTTCACGAATCAAGAGGTCTGTTCTTCCCGTGTCTTCAGCATCGCGTCTCTGCCTTAGAGGCATAAAAGGATCAGAACTAAAGCACCTTCGTTTGTACTTGAGACTACAGACAGCAGCATGTTTTTTTTTGTTGTTGTTGTTGTGTCTTGTATTTTTTAACACAAAATTGTGCTGGGCGACAAAAGATTAAAGTAGGCGTCACTTTTTTTTTAACTTGGCGAAATGTGGATTGCACTTTGTTTTTGAGCCAAATGCCTCTACTTACTTTTCGGAATGAAACTTTCGCTCGTTGTTGAGAGCACACAGATCAATAGCGTACAAGCCGACAAGTGCTACATTGATTTTTCTCCAGTAGCCTGCCTCATCTAGGTACTATGCCGAGAATTCTAGAGAAATATTATGAAGCGCGACGCAGGCTGTGTACATCTAAAGCACATTTCTGCTTGTAATTGTTTTTTGGAAAATCGATAATATATTTACTTTACACGCATTTCATTATGTGCATTTGCTCATACAGAAGGCATTATGACTTCAGCATCTTCAACTTGGTCTATCGGATCGATGTAACGTGAGGGAACTTCATAAGGTTCCTTGCCCTCCTCCCCTGCACACACACAAAGAGAGGCGGCTTGCTGTTACTTTCTGGAGAAACGCTTTTCTCCTTTCCCTGTGCTGGAAAAAAGATGTGTTTGAGTGCTCTTACGTTGAACTACACAGCCCTCATTTTGACTGCGTTCTTCATATGTGCCGAGAGTTTGGGATAAAATAAATGTGCATTTCTCTCGCCAAAGTCAACTTACGCATCGTCGAACATCCAGTCTCCACCCAAATGTAGCGCTGGCGTTTGGGGACCAGATGTCAAAATTTCAGAAATAGCCGTTACCCAGTGGCGTTAAACGGAACTCCCGCGAACACATAGAGATGAATAGCGAACTCCACCGCGAATGCGCCCTATTCTCTTAGTGATAATCTCCGAAAATATCTAATATTTTTTTTTAATTACATAACCTTTAGTTCCCAAACTTTGGCATATCTTTTACTTTTTTTGTCTTCCGCCTTCGTTTGCAAGGTGAAAAAAATCTTTGATGGGCGTCACAGTCACGGTCGATTCCCTCTTCAAAGTAATGTGAAAGGTTCGAAACTCTAGGGAACATGTAAATAAAACCCACTAAAAGCAATAAGAAATCGATGATTTGTATTATAAAAAAGTAAGAAAGGAACTAAATGCAAAGCAAAATAGAAAATAAACAAGAACTGTGCATATTTACAAAGTCCGGATCAGTTCGAAGATTCCGAGAGATTGGGTGTCGATGCCAGTCTGAGGGTCGGGGTATTTTTTCGGGAGAGGCGATGACGGAAGGAGTATCGGAATGCTGGCGGTTCTGGATTCTTTTCGGTCTTGAATACGGAGCTCGCCTAGCGTACCGATGATGGAATCAGCTTTCTGATAACGTAGATAAGGCGGCACCCTTGTAACCCACAACCTCGCAGCCCAGTCCTGGTCTGGGGCGTGTCCCAAGCGCCCGGTCCCGGTTGCCGGCCGTGCGTTTTTCTGCACTGACCCTCTCGAGCTCTTCTTTACGTCATCTTCTTCTCTTTCTTTCCCTCTTCTTCTTTTAACAATGTCCACACCATCACACCTGTCAACATTCGCCGCCCCTCGAGGTATTCTTTACGAAAAGAGCTTTGGGGACAGAATGCCGACGTATCTCCTGGTAATCTCTTCTAGTCTTCGAGAAGAGATTTTCCAAGCCTGCCACGACGACCCGACATCTGTCCACCCTGGCTAGAGCAGGACTCTTCCAAGGATTTGAGAAAAGTACTACTGGCCCAAGCTCCCGAAGACTGCCAACCTCTGCGCACGATCATGCCACGAGTGCCAGTGACTGAAGAATTCGCCGACCAAGCCGGCAGGCACCCTGCAACCGATCGCGCTCCCGACTGCCCCGTTTCAGCAGATTGGGATGGATCTGACTGAACCTTTTCCGCCGTCAACGGAGGAATTCCGTTAGATAATTGGGGCCATTCTGATTATCTTACCCGGTACGCCGAAACAAATGCACTGCCGTCGGGAACCGCGGTGGAAGTAGCCAAGTTCCTCGTCGAGTTCATCGTCCTCCGGCCCAGCGCTCCCCAAAGCCTGGTTACGAACCTAGGCTAATCGTTCATGGCGCGGTTTTATAATTCCCACCCTCTACTTTCCGAAAAACTAAAATGGTCTTCAAAAGTTGCAGGGAAATTCATTGGTGAACTCTTAAGGCCTACGTCAGCATGACCCTTGGAACTGCCAAACGCGTTCCCAATCAAGAAAAGCTAACGCTGACGGCATCAGTTTTTTTCCGTTTGCTTTTGACTTTTGCTTCCTCTTTTGCTTCGTGTATTTTTGGCACCACTTTTTGATCTTGTTACGAGTTCAGTGTTAGAGTTTCCAAAACGGGGACGTGTGTTGCGTTTGCGAAGAGTCACGTTAACGGATTCCAAAAGAATTCCCCAATGGAATCATTTGTAATTCTTTTCATCCCTTTTCTGTACTCTCCATGTCAGACCACGTCAACTTCCATGGATACGATCATCCATATCATTCGTGAAAAGAACCAAATCTTTACTACCCGCGGAGAGAGCCGCATCCATCGTTTTAAGTACGCACACACATCAAAACCCACGCACAGCTACTACGGAAACCCAGAGCGAAAACAACCGGCGACGGCATAAGGGCAACTGAGCACACTCGCATTCCGCCGCGTCGCTGAGCAACACCTTCTGGATAACAAAGTCGTAGAGCTGAATGAGATGGCGCCATCACAGAGGGCCAACGCTAAGCACAGGTTGGACACGCCGATCGCGTAAACGTTTGGCTCAAACTTGACTCAAAGCTGAGCGCTGACGCGACACTCGTTTTCAATCTGTGTCCAGCGTTGGCCTTCTCTCATAACGCCATCTCATTCATGCCTACGGCTTTGTTGTCTTGGAGGTGTTTCGCGGTGCCTCCTCCTCTCTGAATCCGTGACAGCTGCGCGCGCGACTTTAATGAAAAGAAAAGGGCTCGTTTTCACGAAAATCCGGCGGTGTCTGTCAGTTTGTCAGCGCCGAGGAGAAAGGGAGAGGTTGACGCGTGTGACCGACTCCGAGCTTAGGTGAAAACGTTCTCTTTAATCCACGTGCCGTCGGGCTCGTGCCAACGAGTAGCGTCGTCATCCTTGTTGGTGGCGACGCTGGATGTATTGACAGCTACACCTGGCATGAAGGGCAGCCCACAAACCCTTTGTTGTTAAGAAGTCTAATGTCAAGACTATGCCGGCGTATCCGTTGGAGCCATTCATGACAGCGCCTTATCCCGGTATCTACTCATTTGCCGGAACTGTAAACAAACCAATACTGCTGGCCGTAGCTCCATTATGGTCGCCGAGTTTCACGGCTGGAACAATTAATTACGGCACAACTGACGGTCTTAAACCTCGAGTGAGCGGTGAAGCATTGTGCAAACACGGCCCCAAAGAACACAAAAGATGGCATAGCAGCAAGGAATCTCTCTAACATAAATTCCGCCGGGTCCTGTTGAGATTCCCGAACCGGCAGTAGCGTTGCATCGTGGTCTCTTGCAAGACCCCAATAGATATGTCCTTTATTTGCATTACTTCGGCATAGATCTCCAATCAATAGCTCCTATAAAAACAGACCTGCACCTTTTTTGTCTTGTAACGATATCACCAGTGGATCTGCATACAGGTGATTCATAAAACTCTCCAATCGCTGCACTCTAAGAAATGCTTGCGCGTCTATTCACCCGCAAAACACTCAAAGAGCCAACCTCTGCAATCTAGGAAATCAGCTAGGCGAACAATGAGGCGGAACATCCGTTCAGACCTAAAATTAAAGTCTGCGCCGAGGCATTACGCAATGCAAAGCGTCATGCTTCCATTGCGTAATGCCACATTGTAGACTTTATTTTGAGGTGTAAACAGATATTCCTCAATATCATTCGCTGAGCTGATTTCGTAGATAGCAGAGATTGGCTCTTCGAGTGTTTTGCGAGTAAGTAAAGGTGCACGCATTTTTTTTTTCCATAGTGCGCCTGTATAGCATTTTATGACTTTTCGCACTTTTACTTTTCTGCTGTGCCACCATCGGTAACTCGGATTTCAGGCTGGCGATTATGAGTTGTTTTTTTCTTAAACATGTTAGTGATAAACCCGAGAGTTTTTTATGTCCTTCCTGCCAGCCTCGAATTCTGCCTGCGTGTTGCAGAATCGGTAACAGACACCGTGCCTTATGCTCAATCACGTGTAGGCAATTCATCTGCGAAATACAATTTATGACCTATCTAGCACCAAAAAAAAATACAGAATACTTTCTCCGAAGTAGTTGCTATGGGACCGTGGTCATAAATGACAGCACCATTTCTGTCACTGAATCCACAGAGCGATTCCTAGAGATACAAAATATGTTTCCCGTGGAAGGGATATAAACGTAACTTTGTTTTATTCTCAAAAGGCTCATAATTTTTCATTATTATTATTAAATATTGTACGTCTCATTATTTACCAGTTTCCTTGAATGAGTATGAAAAGGGGGGGGGGGGGGCGCTTTTGTCTCTAGCTGCGAGAAAGAAGGCGATAAATCTCAGACATCGTAGCTGTTTTCACCCCTTTTGCATTGCCACGAACTTAAGAATGTCGTGTTCGTGTGTTTGTTCGGCTGAGACTCGTGCTCCGTCAGTGAGAGCACGACCTCAAGCCGAACGCTCGCGACGCACTCTCATTCAATCGCGGCCCCGCCTTGTCCCGCTGTATATTGTCACGGATGACAAGTGACGAGGCGGCGAAGAACTGAGTAGACTGAACGTTTAATGGGGCGAACTTGTGCCCAAAAATAAAAGGAGAAAGATAACAACAGAGCGTCGCGGGCATCGAAGGCGGCGAAG